TTATAAACCACGTCTTCGCGCCATCTTCAGGGGCGAAGTATACGTGGGAGAGCTTTCCATCGAGACTCTAGTAGTTCGATTTAGCTACCCGTTCAAACTGCTCAAGCCAGTATTGCGCATCTTCGTTCGGCTGGCCATGAAATGGTTCTGGAATTCGCATATTCTGGACCGTCACCTGTGCAGAACTCCTTGAAAATGCCATTTCTTGAGTAAGAGTGGCTGTCGAAAGTGTTGCTTCTTCTAAAAGGGCAAATTCTGGTTCACGACCTTGAAGCGGTTGGCTTGAGCGATGCACAGGCGTCTTCACGCGTGGCTTTCTTGTAGCGCTGGACGCAGGGCATCTCAAAGAGGTGCCGATCATGAGGTGGTAGTACACAGCATTTCCACCAGTGTCGCGGGCAATAAAAAACACAGAGTTTATTAAAAACACGGACAGCGGAACTTGTAGGCAAGCTCTGAAAATAAGGCCGCTAAGATTGTCGTCTTCTTCATTCACCTGCACGACGCCTCTCGAGCAAATCCGTAATCTTTGTTGTCGTCGCTATCTCGCAGCTAGACGCTGCTATGCACGCGGCTTCTTCGGGTAGGTCATCATTTACGTAGGCCTTTCATCGCTTCGGGGTGTTTTCACACCTACCTTGGTTCTTCCCGTTCCACTCTCTCGTGTTAAAGCTGGGCTAACTGCAGCCTTTTTTTCTTTTTTGCGGATTACTGCTTAGTAGTGGCATTTAACAAATTTATGTACCACAGAGAGTGTTTCAATAAATGTTTCCCATATTCTTTAAAAATTGGAGAAAGGATGCATCTGCCTGCCACTTGCGACGTGCTTTTTTCTGTGACAGAAAGCGTCGTCATATGCCAACAACCATAAAATACGGCAGTGAATATAGAAATTAAAACGATTACCTTTTAGCCAGTGGTGATAGCTGGTCACCACTATCAGCAGTCATGCAGGCACTGTGGAATCGGGTCGTCGACGAAGCGTATATAAACATCTTCAATGAAATCGTCAGGGCATCAACTGCTACCATAGTGCTTCTTAAAGAAAGCAACAGAATACCAATCAAGAAGGGTGTAGAGCAGCGGGATAAAATCTCCGCAATTCTATTTACCACGTGCTTAGAGGAGGTATTGAGTAGTCTAGAATAAGAAAAGTTGGGATAAGAGGTATTGAAGAGTACCTTAGTAACCCTGCGTTTGGCCGATGACATTGCATAGCTGCGTAACGCAGGAGACAAGTTGCAACTCATGATTACGGAGTTAGGCAAGGAGAGCAGAAAGGCAGGTCCTAAATTTATTCTGCGGAAAACGAAAGTAATGTACGACAACCTCGGAAGAGAACAGCACTTCGAAATAGCTTGTAGTGCACTTGAAGGTGTAAAAGACTATGTCTACTTACGACAGGCGATAACCGGGGAGCTGAACCACGAGATTGAAGTAACTAGAAGAGTAAGAACGGTGTGAAGCACATTCGGCAAGCCCTCTCAAATCATGACAGCCTGATTGCCACTATCCCTCAAGAGAAAACTATATAACAGCTGCATCTTGCCAATACTACGGAGCAGAAACCTTGAGACTAACAAAGAGGATTCAGCTTAAATTGAACACGACGCAGCGAGCATTGTAAAGGAAAATGGTAGGTGTAACTTTAAGAGGTGAGAAGAGAGCAGAGTAGATAAGGGAACACACTGGGATTAAGGACATCATAGTTGAAATCAAGAAAAAAAATAGACATGGGCCGTGCATGTAGCGCATAGACAGGGTAACTGCTAGTCATTAAGAGTAACTAACTGGATTTCCAGAGAAGGCAAGCGGGTTATGGGGAGCAAGAAAACTAGGCGGGCAGACGATATTAAGAAGTATGCGGGTATAAAAAGGCAGCAGCTAGCACAGGACCAAGTTCAATGGCGCATCATGGGAGAGGCCTTTGTCCTGCAGGGACGTTGCCAAGCTTATGATGATAATGATGATGATGATGAAGTTCGAGTCATATGGACAAATTTAGGCTTTCCTACAAATTGTCCGTAGCCATTTTGAAATTTTGTAAAAGTGGCCACTGGTAATCACCGCGGAGCGATGCAACAAGCCTAATTAAGCTGGAGAAACTGAAACCGACGCACCAAACAACACATCTACTATTTATTTCGACAACGCCCTCAGTGATGACGCTGTTTACTTTGCCGTCATCAACCATCAATTTAGACGCTTCGCTTTGAAGCCGCTTATCGGCACTCCTTATTCTTCACCCCCAATGCGAGGGAAACAGTGTCGTCATTGAAGGTGTTGTCGTAGTGAACGGTGGATGCGCTGTTTGATGCGTCGGCTTCGGTTTCGCCAGCTAAATTGCCAGATTGCATCACTTCTCGGTAATTACCAATGGCCGCTTTTCCAAAATTTCATAGTGGCTATAGACTATTCGCAAGAAGGGCTTGAATTCGCCCAGTTTATGCGAACGGCTATTACCACTGGTTAAAAGTTGTGTTAAGTTCTATACTTACTGCCGTAGTTAATGTTTGTACCCATGTGAAGATGATTTCTGCCACAGGAAGGCAACGCCGCAAGTAGCGCGCAGATACTTTCCTTCTGTACCACCTTGTAATAAGTATAGTGGGATCTACCATATTGCTAAGGCGCATGCCAATTTTTGATAGTGGTAGGTATTCGATATGCTACAAAAGTTTTTTTTTTGCTGGCTAATTGTTATTTTCTTCATTTTAAAGAATCAGCGCTGAGTAGTGTGGTGTACCTCATTTCTGTGGCCCCATACTCGTTTATGATTTGTTGGCCTGTTTCTGTAGATCTGAGGTGAGGGCTTGCCCCATTTTTGTGACCACGCACCAGTTAATGATTCGCTTCGCGAACTGTTATCCTTTTCATTCCTAACAAACCAGTGTTGAGTAGTAGGATCTACCCAGTTTCTATGGCCTTATACTCTATACCCACCAGGCTGTTAGTGCTAGGTCACTCCTGAGTTACGTTGTTGCTACCCCTGAGCTTGTGGCGTTTTTTTCAACGCAACATAGTACTCTGGTACAACAAAATTTGTGGTTGCAAACACTGACCTAGACGGTAACTTTTCGTGGAAGCATTTCTTCGGTATACGAAACCACCCAGGGCTGAGCACGTTGCTATTGCACTGGCCATGGTGACCCCTTCGCGCACGTGCTTTTTCAAGACTCTTGGGCTGCTGCACGAGGATTGGTAATGGAGCCACTCGTTGAGCAGCTGGCCCAACGGTCACCTCACCAGGTTTCCTACCTGCATAGTGTATGATGTCTACCCTTTTATCCCGAATGTCCATGAGCTTTCTTACGTCCGCACACGTCAAGTGTGCCATAGTGGTTTCATCCCCACCTTCAATGAAATCTGTATGGGCTACCATTCACCAGGCGTAGCTTCTCTCTCCCACACCCGCAACTCTCAAGGCCCCATCGATCACTTTGTAAATGGTGCGAACCTGTCGCCTTTAGTCTACACTAAGTTTATAAACAGAATGAAGCCTCACTGCTCTCATAGCGATGAGTTATTATGCATGGTATCCCACATACTCTCGCGATGCACGACGCTGCGCGATGACAAGCAACGCAGTACAGCGGACGCCTGGAGAATGGCATTGACCAGCTCGGACCAGGAGGTCATATTCTGCCTGCACTTTAGCGGAGGTTCTTGCGCTTCCTTTTCCAAGGTAAGTGCGGCCCACAGCCGACCAGCCCTCTTGCGGGGCATCAGCTTCTCAGGACAATTTATCAATAAACTTCATTGACTGACTGACTGGCATTCCTTCAACAGAAAGCTTCGTTAAGGCTGACAAGAAAAGTACTCCATCCGTTTTCTATTCGCCAGTCTACAAGAAACCAGGGTCAAAAAATTTTGATTCGTTTCTCAAGTGAGCTTGAAGGTTGAAACTCGTGGCACCGATCAACACCAACAATCACCTTTTTGCTCACACTGTTATTTTCACACAACTGCACGCGGAAAAATGTCTGATTATCCAATAGGTGTACGTTCCGCGTTGATGATGCGTGCTTTTAAATTTAGACGTAATGTGACTATCCAAATGCTGAAAAAAGAAACAGAATGTCTGCCTGAAAGACCAGCCAACAAAGGACAGGTGCCCCGGTGTCGTTTACGAAATTCCGTGCGCCGAGTGCCCCTCGTCATATATCGGTGAGGCAGAAAACCTACCGGAACGACTGAAGCAACACGCCAACGATGTGCGGAAGTTCTACAAAGAGCGCAGCGCAGTCGCCGAACATGCTGAGACGTTGGATCACAAAATAAATTTTGAAGCGACCGCCATCCTCGAAAGCGAGCCGAACTGGAGGAGAATGTTGTTACTCGAGTCGTGGCACATACCGAGGACAGCCCATAATATCAACTGCTCTCCCGGAACCTTTTCCCCTCTGTATTCGCACGGACTGCGCTCCATGGCAAAACGACAGAGAGAGAGAGAGGGCGGGGGGGGGGGGGGTCATTAGCCACCCCGCGAGTGCTTTGAATACGATGCTGCTACGTAGCCTCCGCAGGCACTGCGCCTTGCTCCCGACCGGGCTGAAGAAATTAAGTGCGTTTTCTTATCTTCTAACCACTACCACCACCAGTCACCCCTGAGGGAAGGAACCAAGTCGGTTCCGAAACTTTGGGTTCCTTCAAAACTTTCGGTTGGAGTCTAAATCATCTCCCAAGTTTATTCTTATTAAATTTCTTATTTTAACAGAAAAAGATCATATGAAGTCATTCATACAAATTTTCTTGTAAAACAACTGGCTGATAACACTGTGAAATATTTTAAAGTCAAAGTGTGCCTAAGCTTGCAGCGAGCGTTTGGAGATCAGGATGTGAAACCAAACCCACCTTGAGGAGAAATATGGCCGTGAAGAAGGACGGCTTACTTCAATAGGGCGCAGAACTCCGGTACAAAATACCCTCTTTCAAGCTCAAGCACAAACATTACGATGCGTTTAATTTTTTTTTGAAAATCACTTTTGCAATTTTCTTACCATTTTTCTTCCACGGAGCGTGCCTTTGGCAGAATCGGCGAAATATGTCTTGATGTTAGACGTGTCAGGCACGCAGATTGGCGCTTTCTGAAAGAAACCGTTAGTTGGCACAGTCACTGTTATGTCATTACAGTAATGTTCAAAATCTGTTGCACCGAAATAGTATGCCCAATCACAAGTCAATTGGAGGCTCTTAACGTCGTAGGTAAAACGTCCGCCATTTGCAATAAAAAAACAGCTCCACACAGTTGACCAGCATTACTTACGAGGCAACGGGCCATAAGGTCCTTAACACAAATGTACATTGACGTGACTTGCTTTAAGCAGGGTATAATTTATTTAATTACTATTGCAATTATTTCTCTTCGTGTGTCATGAAAAGTTGAAAGATTGAGTGAATAAACACCATTTCTCAATGCGGCGTCCTTTTGGCCTGGGTTAGAATGCACAAGAAGGTACAAGGAGACCTCGTCTTCGTACAGCCACCCTGGTTGGCTAAATATTCAATTTTCGGTCTTCGACCTCTGAGCTTAGCAGCAATAGCCGCCACCGTTCCCGGAGCTCCTCAGGAGAACAGGCTGATAAGTGTGGACATTCAGAAAATACATGTTTATACGATGCTGTTTCTGTTAAACATTGTTTGCATCTATTGTCCAGTTATAACTGTGCATAACTCCCGTGGAGGCACACAGGGTTTAGGTAGTGGTTTCTAGCTGTTGTTTAGATGATTCTTGCCTGCCTAGAAGCGGGTGAGCTGCGCGAAAGGCATGACTTGCATTTGTAGTGTTGTGTTGTATTCTGTGTAGCATGTAAAATGGTCTCCTTTTTGCAAGTCGGTGGCGTCAGGGATGACTACCGAGTGGTTCGGTCAGGTTGCACCGCGAAGTAATTATCGAGACAACTCGTGAGGCATGTAGTTAAGATTGTATGCATCAGTCTCTGTGTGTGCCGGAAAGCATATCAGGTATTTGAATTCATCTACTTTGTGCATTTCCAGGCTTATACCGAAATCTCTGGGGGCTTGTTATGAAACTCGTTCTTGCGGGAAATGTCTTATAGCTACTTGTGAATTCATCAGTTTCAATGGGCTAGTTGGAGGTGATAGTCACGACTATGGCTACTTCCTCAGCTGCCTTCATCTTGTTCGTTATGAGAGTGCACGCATTAATAAACACGCCCCTCGTGCCAATCTCAACAGCAGTTAGACAGATGGAAAGAAAAGAATAAAATGAGGAAAATCCAAGAAGGTTAACCAGAAGTTGGGGCATCCGTTTCATTATCCTGCACAAAGGGAAGGTGGAATGATGGAGAAGTATTCAAAAAAGCGAAAAACAAAATAGACGCGTGAAAACAAACAGAGGGGGTGCTATAGCCCATTCTATAGGTCTTTATTACGCAAAAAGTTCAATAAGGCCTTCATGAATTTTCTGTGCGAAGACAGATCATGTCGGCTTTTGAAAACTGATTTTTCTGACTAGGGTATGTTGTCAAGTAGGGCTAACGCAGGAGCTAGGGGTCGTCTTTGCACGCTGTAGCGAGAGCAGTGACAGTGAACTCTATCATTTTATCGCTGTTGCAATGATTGCAAGCAGCACTGTTTTTTATGCTGATTTGGAAGCCGAAAACTTAGATGAACGCGGCACCAAGGCATAGTCAACAAAACCTCGTTGTCTCAAGTTGAGAGAGTCCGTACTAGGGCCGAATTGAAAGAGATGGGTTCTGCGTAGGCAGTCGCGTTTGCCGTAAGCATGCATTCTGCGTTCCACAGAGATTTTGCTTCTTCATTAGCAATTTTTCAAAATTTCATTGCAGCATCATCTTTGAGACTCATATAGAGTTTTCTACACCGTCTTCGTGTGGTGATCGAGCAGCTGCATTGGCGTGTTCGTTGCTCAATATACCGCAGTGACGTGGAAGCCACTGAAACGTGATTTCGTGTCATTCGTTGAAGAGGTGGTAGAGCAGCTCTCTGATTTCTAGTACTAGTTGTTCATGAGGTCAGCGGCTTAAGGCTTCCGAAAAAACAACTATAATTTCTTGTCGCTATGCAATCTGACTATACACAAAGCTATTTCATACAACATAAGAAAAAAAGACAAATTGCTCATTTTTTTCGCGCACGGAATATGGAGTCATCAGCCTGTCATACCTTGTGACATGTTTGCTCAAGGAATTTGATAAGAATGAAATTTGCATAGAAAATTCATGAAGTGCAATGAAGCGATATGTACTTGAGCACTTGTTTTCAGGGCAGCAGTGCCCGTAACGCTATCACTATAAAATGATTTGGCAGTTACATTTTCCATTCTAAAATTACCAACTTTTTTCGAAGTTGACTTGTTAACATGCTTTTTTTTGTATCAGTACAGTTACAATGTGTATATATAAATGCCTTATAGTCTATATAGCGTGTACAACTTCGTCTCATTTGGGTGAAATAGTTGCTGTACACTTATTTGTCCGCTATCGTGATGCACTTATTTACCATTTCTGTTTTGCGCAACCAAACAATGTACATCGTAACTGTCATGTATTACTTCCAATATATATCTTCACTTTAATTACCTACGCTACTATATATGAGGACCAGAAACGTTTAGTGGAAATGTAAAACAAGAGATGTTTGTATGCAGGGTACGTTGTTTTCTTTGGCCGTCAGGAATCGGGGCTACAACCTTTGTCAACGTACTTGATAGCCATTTTTTTGTCCTCGTGTTCGTTATCTTGCTGAAACAAATGCCAAATAAAGAAATTGATTGAACACTAGAGACTGTAGTACTGTCTTGGAGTCCTTAAACACACTCCATTTCTGTGTGAGAGAGAGAAAGAGAAAAAAATTGCCCTGTATCTGCATGTAATCTGCAAATGTCGTCGAAAGACGATGGTCTTGCGTGTGGAGAGAGTGAACAATTATTTTAATGTTATGCGCAAGACAATCGGTGAACGTTATTTTGGAGGCGCTGCGTTAGAGTGCCTCCATCGTGCAGCGGAGGCGAACGAGCGCATCAAGTCACGTCACACGTGAGACATGAGTGCTACCTGGCAGTCTTCTTGCAAAATGAAGCGCGTGGCTCTGAGACGGGTGTGCGCGCCCGTCTCAAAGCTGATAAGGTGAGGAACGCATGGCAACAGGTAGTGCCACCACCATCGCGTCTTAGCGAAGCGTTGCAAACACTCACCTTTTCTTGCAAGCATTGCATGGTCAGTGCAGTGTGATAAGCGCTACGGTCTTTAAAATTACTTATGCATGCATTTTCTAGTAAAAGATGTACATGCAGAATGTATACGTGTTGCGACTGATTCCCCAGACTTGCGCGATAATTACTTATTATTTGACGAATACACAGGTATGAACGCTACATCTTGAGCAACTTTGGTGGGTGCTGCGGATGGGGTTGGCCGTTTTAAGCACCCGTTGCCGTTAACAGTGGACAAACTGACAAATGTACAGACAGACAGACAGACAGACAGACAGACAGACAGACAGACAGACCAAAGTTTTGCGTCGAAGGTCCCCAAGAAAGACGATCATCTTTAATAAAGAGAACAGCCAGGGATGTTACAACAGAATCGAAAGTTGGGCTAGTTGGATATGCATGGTATAACTGTCAGTTCGAGCGCGCGAATAAACAGAAAGGAAGAGAGGACAAGTGTTTTTTTTTTTCGCAACTAAACGATTTATTAGATAGAGAAGAATATATAAACACGCTATCAAAAAACAACGCATGCGTGTACAGGCAAAAAGTACATCTGTTCTTTTCTGTTTATTCGTGCGCTTGAACTGACAGTTATACCAAGCAGAAGGTTAACCGACGTCAGATCGGTTGGCGACCCTACACTCGGTGTGGGGGAAAGGGGGAATAATAGAAAGAAAGTAGATAGAAAAGAAGAGGAGTAAGACACAGATTGATTCATAGTCAGCTCGAGACTACACAGCATGATCCTACGCAGTTCTTTGACAAGCACTCGTGAAAACTGATGGTCCTCAAGAAGTACGAGAGGGCTTTCGTGAGTTTGCGCGTATGCGAACCCGTCGTCCAAGGTCCCAGGATCTTCTTTTCTGTAAGCGGTCGTGAATGCAGCTGACAGAACTTGACTTCCATAATACATCGTTCACGCTGGTATGCTGGACAGTGGCATAGAATGTGCTCAAGCTTCTCCTCGCAGGCGCAGATGTTCCATGCCGAACTGCTCGCCATTCTAAGGAGACAGGAATACGCATTCGTAAGTGGCACGCCAAACTTCATGCGACCCAGCAAAGTTTCAGCGCATCGAGAGAGCCCGGAGTGCAAACGAAGTTGCAAGTTTGGGTCGATCGAGCACAGGCGCGTGCTAGAGAAAGCCGGCGTATTACATTGTAGGAGAGTTATGCGGCAAGCAAGTGATTGTAGTCGCCTTGCAGCGTCCGTTCTCAAGAGTGCCATGGGCGTACACAGGTCTTCGTTATGAGCCAATCAAGCAGCTTCATCCGCGCGGTCATTGCTGACAATTCCGCCATGGCTCAGCATCCATTGAAATGCACTATTGTGACCTTCTAAGCTCGCTTCGGAGTAGTCGTGCCTTGTCTGATACACTGATTGTTTGTGTAAACCGCGCTGCACAACCAACCATAGTGTCTGTAAGGCTGACCTCGAGTAGCAAAAGCTGGCCCATTAATAAGGTTGTTAGCGAAGAGTGTACTTTACTGCACCTCGAAGCGCTGTGAGTTATGCTGCTGCCGACGTCGTTATGTGAGAGAACTTCTATTGAAGCAACACATTACCAGATGGAACAACCACTGCTCCTGTTGAGCTGTTGGAATAAGTGCAGCCATAGGTGTAAACATGTATGCGGTCAAAGTAAGTTTCATCCAATAGACGCAAAGTCAATTCCTTCAAGACTAGAGATGACATGCGTGCCTTCTTAACGATTCTAGGAACCGATAAGTGGACGTCAGGTTGGCGGAGACTCCATAACGCAGATGCTTGACGCATTCCAAGTTTTAAGCCAGGTGGCAATATGTGCTCATGCTTCGTCACAATACTGCAGAACGAAGCATGGGGCCACCATGCTGTCAAACACGCTAAATGATGTGACGAAAGTCGCGA